TTTGAAAATACTATAAAATCGGGTGCATCAAATGGCATAAATCAGTCGTGCTTTGGCACTCGTAGACGCCGGGTCTATGTCAGTTGACTGCCCACTGACGTATATGCGTCACGCGTGATTTTTTCGTAAATTATAGTATGATTGAGTACTTTTGATCCGCAAGTATTTTTAAATTTATTTGTTTAAGGGCTGATTTTTCAATCGTCAGATATCTTTTAACTGACGAATAGTCTTGTCATTTTGACATATTTCCCATACTAAAACTGTCAATGTGCCAAACTTATTCTTCAGTTAAAAGTTATCCGACGATTGAAAAATTAGCCATAAGTAAATCAGACTTGTGATTTCTTTCTTTTCAAACTTTTTATTATTTTACTTACAGAATATGGGTAGAATAGACAAAAGATATTATTATGGTATCTGTTTGGTCAGGAAAAAATAAATGACTAATAAAATTTTTAACAGGGTGTCAAAACATTAGTCTATGCTATTGTGTTTCTACCAACATAAAATATACTCTTCCTTACTAATAAAAGTTGAATAGCGTCTGTATGGTCAACGCTTCGTCATGTTTTTCCGAAAGTTCAATTGCTGACGACTGAATGAAAGAAATTGGTGCGTAACTATTCATCTGATATTAAACGTTTAGTAAGAAAGGGGTAGGTCAGGTAAATGGCAAATCCACCAGCGGTCGCTCGATGACACTTAGACAAATAGTTTTATAAAACGTCAACTACTATTTTAGTAATAAGCAAAGATATGCCTGTGCTTAATGAAAAATGGCTGAGACACTCATTAGTTTTCAAGTTAGATTGATTATTAATTGTTAGATGTCTACTTCATCACATTTACGTCTCCTTCGTTACGAAGAGTTTGATCTCGTCCCCTAATAAATATTATCTCTTAAACAACAAAAATGCGAGTGTTAACTCTTTTTGTAAATCATTTATGTCGTGTAATACTTGGTTTTTAGTGTGTAATACTACTTTTTCAATATAACTTTATAAAAGAGAAAAATAATTGATTTTTGTTAAGTTTTAAAGGTGTAAATGTGACGAAAGGGACAAACTGTTGATTTTTATGGAATTGTTACCTGATTAAATAACGATTAACTACCAATTGTCCAAGACTGATTTAAGCTGAAATTTTGTAATAATAAATGCAAATATCTATTGAAATTTCTTTTAATTTATCGAGTTTTAAACAACTGAATTTCGTGACGAAGGATACATTTTTTTCCATCTTAGTCTAGTAAAACGCAAAAAAATATAAGTTTTGATACAAAACTGAGCTGCTGGTCTACAGATACCGAATCTATGGTAATTTTCCTACATTTCAGTCGTATGAAATGTACTAAATAGCTTTCTTTATTTTTTTTCATGGTTAAGACCTTAAAAGTAGAACGACCCATACCCTCGTCAGTACTACACACGGTCAAAATTACACTGGCAAGGAGTAACGCCCGTATACACAAACTTAAAGCTAACTGAAGCAGCAAATCGAACGCACAGCGTTGAATAGAGCTCTGTGATTGGTTCGTGTGTGATCCTGTGCATCCACGCGCACTGAGACCTCAAGTAATGATATCAAATACGGGCGTTAGTATTCCCACAGAATAATAATAAGTACTACGTACAGAAGTTTTACTTCGCGAAGGTATTTAAAAAAATGTATGCTCAATGTCATTAACAATATGGTGTAATTTAGCTTGTCTAAAGAGTCAAGCACCATTTTGTTGACAAACGTCAGTGATCGGTACTGCGCCGAAGCTATAGGGCTGACTTCGGTCGTGCTTCGGTAAAATGATGTGACGTGAGGTGCCAAACTGCAGAAAATGGCGGAGGAAATACAGGATTTAGCATGAATTATAATGAATAATATTAACTACTTATTTACCTCTCAGTGACTTCAGGCAACTTAAAAAAGTACATTCTGTGTTTTTATTATTATTTAGGCAGTTAAATACTGCACAGTATTTAGTACACCATTTTCTTTATTTTTTCCATCATACACAAGAATACGCGTGCGTGAGTCAATGTTCGCTCGTATGTGAGGCCTTGTCGAATAGTAATCCTGTAGGGGGTCATCGTGCGTGTTTTGTTTTCGATGTAAACTCGCGGAGATGAACAGGCCTGGTATTCCATCCTCATATTGACGTTATCCTCCCCAGCTGCCAGACCTAGTGGAGAACAATCCGATGGTGGCGATCTCAGTCCTGCTGAAGCTCATCAACTCGGCACACATCACCGAGTACTTTACTGTGCTAGTCAACATGGAGATGTCGCTGCACTCCATGGAGGTCGTCAACAGGTCAGTAGCAGAAGAGAGTAGGAAAGCAAAGAGTTCACGAACACTACACCACTACATTTTTATCACCGAAAAAAAAATTCTGGGTAATGAATTATTCATGCTGATCCTATTTATGCAAAAAAAAGTTAAATAAAGTTACTCATTTCATCCCAAAATTGGTAATTTATGGACACACGCGTCGCTAGCACTATTTACGTAATATAATGTAACACTAGAACTCAAAATTACTTGAAATGTTGCATTAAAATGGTCTAAGTTAGCTAAGTAAGTAATAATAACACTGGAAGCGTGGTCGAGGCGTGAGCGAGACAGACAGATCGGGGCAATGTGCGAGCGCGTACGACTACTCTAGCGAGCAGCGGAGTGCCTTAGCTGTGACGCGTAAAATACGGACTAAAGAAAATTTTATAAAAAATTAACTTTATGATTTTTTTTTTACTTTAAATTTTTCACACATTTTTACATAACGTGATAAAATTTTATTGGTGATGAAAATGTAGTGGTGTATAATCCGGGCCTCTTCAAGGCGAGAGTGAATAGGCACTTACAGGGCAGGTACAATTCGATCGAGGTAACTGCGCACCTCGCTGGAATGCGACTCTCCCTCCAACTTACCCGCACACCTCCTCGCGTTCGCCCCGTCCGTACCAGAGCGTCGACGTGACGTCACGGCTGCCAAGTGCGCAGTTATCGCGATCGGGTTGTGTGTGATTGCAGTCAAATACCTGTTTTTTTCTGCGTAAAAAGTCAACCATTTTTAAGTATTTTATTTATTATTTACGTGACTTCCATTATATTTTATTTATTTCACTTTATTTTCAATAGACGTGGTCTGAGCCGAGGTCCGATATTACTTGACGATGCCCTTAGACCGCGCCCGATGTTCCTTCGATCTTCCAAGCTTAATCAGTGTCACATTTCTCGTCTCTCTTTATCTCTATTAAGGTCATTGCAGACTTATCAACTCAGAAAGGGATTAATACCGTATCGCCTTTCGCGAGCTGTCATCGCCTTTAGCGCGCTGTCAACCGCGAGACGAGGCGTTTACGTTACGGTGAGAATAAGTATGCGTTGTAATATAGAGTTTCATACACAGAATACTGACCGCCTCGCGTTGATACGGTTACGATCCCTTTCCGGGTTGAAGAGTGTGCTACGTCCTTTATTCAATAAGGTTGGATATCAAATGGAGTGTTTCCCATGTTATGGAAGATCCAGTTTTTTTTTTCTTAAAGATTATATTAGCCCTCGTGTTAAGCTAAATAAGCTTGTGTTACGAGTGGGCTCACCACAATAGTCGAGCGGCGGTGGGATTCAAACCCGCGTTCCTCGGATCTCGAGTCGGCCAGTCCGACCACTTCACCGTTCGGCTATCGTGGCTATTATGTTCTTGTTATGTTCGGCTATAGTTTGCTGAGACAAACTGTTTGAGCAGGTTGACGACGTCAGTGGACTTACCAGTGGACTTCGTGTACCTATATATCAGCAACTGCATCTCGACGTGCGAGACCATCCGCGACCGCTACATGCAGAACCGCCTCGTGCGCCTCGTCTGCGTGTTCCTGCAGTCGCTCATCCGGAACAAGATCATCAACGTGAAGGTAGGCTTCGTCATCATCATCACATCTCCACGCGAGACCATCCGCGACCGCTACATGCAGAACCGGCTTGTGCGCCTCGTCTGCGTGTTCCTGCAGTCGCTCATCCGGAACAAGATCATCAACGTGAAGGTAGGCTTCGTCACCACGTCTCCACGTGCGAGACCAACCTCGTCACTCGCCACTGGTCATCATATCCACGTGCGAGACTTTCCACGTTACCCGGCAGCCGTCATTTCCTCGCGTGAGGCGATCCTCGTCACCCTTTTCCGCGTAAAAAACAACAAAATACCTATATACACTCTATGAGCCATACTTGCCTATCAGGGACGGATCTAGGAGGGGGCAAATCGGGATGCCTGCCCCGGGTGCCAGTCTAACGGGGGTGCTTAATAGAAATAAAGGGGCGTTTTGTTAACAAAAGTATCTTAACTAAGCCAATGAGGGCTATCGTTTTAGCGCTCACCAGTTAGCGCCACTGTAGAGTAAGGTCCTGTCACTTGCTAGTAGCGAAGACAGTGGCACCAACTGGTGAGCGCTAAAGTGGTAGGAGGACTATCGCATTTTGCACTCATCAAGATGGCGCCACTGTAGAGTAAGGTCCTGTCATTTGACAGGGGTGCCAACTGTTAAGTATAAAAACGATAGCCCTCATTGCAATTTAAAATTCCCGTTGGTTTTTTGAGCGTATTGTCATTTTTTTAGGTAAGTAATATCAAACGAAGGGGACGCATTAAAATTTTGTCCAGTTAGAAATAATCGTAGATCCGTTGCTGTCGCCTATACATGATTTTACTCATTTTTAGAATAACAAGACTACTTTTAAACCGCCTTTCTAATTCTTCCAGGAAATATTCATCGAAGTGGAAGCGTTCTGCATAGAGTTCAGCCGGATCCGGGAAGCGGCCGCTCTCTTCCGACTGCTGAAGCAACTGGACTCTGGAGACGCTCTCACGCACAAGGAGCCCAAGGACAACTAGCGACATCGCACCAAGATCTTCTATCGGACGCGGTAGTGGCATACCCTAAAGCCTGGTCCGTGAGTACGTAGAATCCCGTCCAATGACCCCAAGCTACCCATCCTTATCACTCGCACGTAATTATATTGCTGTCGCGACTGTGCGACGCGCGCCCGCAGTGAATGTGCGAGCGCGTCAGCAACATAATTACGTGCGAGCGACAAGGATGGGCAGCTTGGGGTCATTGGACGGGATTCTACGTGCTCACGGACCAGGCTTTAGTAGGAGCCGTAAATACTCACCCATAATCCAGAATAGTGGAAAGTCGGCAGTATTAACAGAACAATCAATAGCAATATTTTTATACCATAGTCAAATACCCTATGCAGTCTAGGCTGGTGCCTAGTAAGTGCCTTCACTCTTGCCTTGACAAAACCATGGTGAGCGGAAGATTTTATCAATAAGCGAGTTTCAGTCCCTATCCGTTTGCATCCAAAATGAGGTAATGATATGCTGGAGTATCGCGTTTTTAAATATCTTCAAAGAAAAAGCCGTCCTCCTTGATGGAGAGAAGGTGCAATTCAGCTAATCACGCATAATGGTTACACTCAATCTCAACTTTCATAATACAGGAGAATTAATTGTATCGAAATCTATGTAGATTAATTTTATACAAATCGGCTCGTGTGCGCGTGTGAACCTTGGCGTAACTATTTGTATTAGAAACGTAAATAATTATTGATTTTTGTACATAATAAGGATGGTGTTTGCAATGATTATACTACAAACAAGATGACACAAATGTGATTTTTTGTTTCCTAAAATTGTTTAAATATCAATCAACAATTTATGTATTTTGATTGATATTCCAAAGTACCTAATATCTGCTTGAGTAAGTAAAGTTTTGTCAGAAATTAAACTACTTATTCTTTATTGATAACTAGCTTTCCGCCCGCGGCTTCGCCCGCGTGGAATTTTGTCTGTCACAGAAAAACTTTATCGCGCGCGTCCCTGTTTCAAAAACCGGGATAAAAACTATCCTATGTTCTTTCCCGGGACTCAAACTATCTCTATGCCAAATTTCATCAAAATCGGTTGCGAGGTTTAAGCGGGAAAGCGTAATAGACAGACAGACAGACAGAGTTACTTTCGCATTTATAATATTAGTTGGGATGAATTTAAGGCACGACTTAATTGACTTGTGCTGAGAATATTTCCTTAATAAATTTTTACAGAAAATTATTCTTATAAGACCGAGAAGTCGATCAAGAATTTGCGGGTAGTCTTTTAAAACGAATGCAATCTTCCCATGCTAAGCAAAAGAGACGATTAGAACTAAAATATCCTTCCAGATAGGGCTATGTTTTCTTCTACTGATAAAATAGTCTAATGTTATACACCACTAAATTTTAATCACCGAAAAAAAAATTCTGGGTAATGAGTTATTGATACTGATCCCATTTGTGCAAAAAAAGAGTAAAATAAAGTGACTCAAAATATCCTCCTAAAATTGGTAATTTATTGACACACGCGTCGCTAGCACTATTTAAGTACGATAATGTAACACTAACTTATTAGAATTAAAAATGGTCTAAGTTAGCTAAGTATGTAATAATAACACTGGAAGCGTGGTCGAGGCGTGAGCGAGACAGACAGATCGATGCAACGTGCGAGCGCGTACGACTACTCTAGCGAGCAGCGGAGTGACCCAGCTGTGACGCGTAAAATACGGACTAACGAAAATTTAATAAAAAAATTAACTTCATGAAAACCATTTCTTTTTCTTTTGCTTTCAATATTCCACACGTTTCTACATAATCTGTTAAAATTTTTTCGGTGATAAAAATTTAGTGGTGTATAAAAAATATCTAATAGATTGTATTAATAAACTACTTGTCCAATTGTAATATTAATATACCTAGTAGGTAAATATTGTTGAAACTTGGAATTTTAATTCGAGTAATTTTGCTGAAGTTATCATTTAATTTTACATAATTAATCGAAATTGTTCACAATAAATCAATTAATTTTAGAAAATAGTGAGATTCAGATTGATATTTTATTTATGAGGAATCGCGTTTTGTTAGCTTTTAAATGTATTTCAAACTACCCTCATGTATACCACCTACTTACTCGAATTAGAAATTTAATTACCTATTAAAGTTTATTCAAAACTATAGTTTTGGTGTGTGGCTAAAACAATGATTCGTACGAGTCAAAAAGAATATAATGTGGTATGTATGATTTGTCTCCCTCACTCATGACAGCATCAGTTTATGAGAGAGTGAGACAGATAGAGCGGATAACCATGTCCACATCATGGCTTTTATTTCCACTTGCAAGGGGTAATTTTTCAATTTCTACATATTTACTTTGACGATTTTATGTAGACAAGCATTTTCAATAATATGAAAATTATTCTGCAGCTAAAAGTTATTGAAAACTAAAAATCTACCCCATTGTAGTCTAAGCCTAGGCGCAGGCCATCGATTTTTCCCGATAGTTAAGTCGGGCAGTTGATCAGTATCTATGGGCATGTATGGAAGTGCGCACATTACATAGATATGATTTGGCCGATTCTTCATACAATTTAAAATCGGGCACAACTATCGGCTAACTAAAAATCGGTGGTCTGCGCCTAGTCTAAATAAACGTTAGAAAAGTATTTTTCTACATGTAACATTACGTTAGAGAAACTAGTTTTTTTTTCCTTGTTTTTTGGCATTTGCGGACAGGTGCTTCGGATTAAACATTTTTGTTTCAAAATGGCATCTATTACAGCTACAACCCAGTCAAGTTAACTGCGCACCTGGAATGCGACTCTTCCTCGCACTCACCCAGACACCTCTCCCCATTCGTTCGTCTAGCTAGAGCGTCGATGTGACGTCACGCCAAGTGCGCAGTTAACTTGACCGGGTTGTACATGCCATTGTTTTAGTTGATATTGTGCTATTCTCTGCACAAATTATGTAACTAATTGTAATAATAACTATCACCTGTCCAAATTCTTATTATTATTGACCTGAATTTGTAAAGCATAATCTAATTTCTTTTATCTGAACATTCTAAAGCGTGTTTATTAGCAATTCCTGTAAGACTTTACATCTTATGTAAGAAAATTGAGTTTTGTATTGTTAAAACTAAGTTACTGATCTCTTTTTCAGTTGTGTGTATGAAATCTTGTAAGGAAGCCAGTTGTAACTGTAAATAGGTCAAAAATTAAAGCTTCCTTCAATTCCTATTATGAGCAATATTTATTAGTGTAGCTTTTTTACCATCTCACAATAAATGATAATATTTGTTCTCAAATCTATCTTCATCATCATCATCATCAACAGCCCTTTACAGTCCACTGCTGGACTATGAGCTTCCTCCACTATAGTAGAGGGTTTTGCCATAATCCCCACGCTTGGCAGGCGGGTTGGAGATCGCAGTTAAAAAGATTTATGTTTGTCAGAGAGCGCTGCTGCCCGTTCTGTTTGATGTGTAGTCCCTAAGTCGCCTCTTACGACACCCGCGGGAAGAGTAGGGGTTGTGGTGACAAATGTATTCTACTCTGCCGTCACCACACGGCCGGCACGGCAAATCTATCTTATTTATTGATAACATTCAATGAATGAACAATGAAAAAAAGTATCAGTGGAAATTTTTTATTCCCATACCAAACTGTATACATACAACTACATTGAACTCAAATTTAATTCTAACTCAAGATGGCACGAAGCATCTTGTAAACTAACTAGCACCTCCCAAAACCTTTCTGATATCATTGTCAGCGGCTACGTCTAGGGGCGTACAGTCATCTTCATCTTTTAGCATAGAAGCACCAGCATCTACAAGAATTTGTGTAGATTTCAAATGACCACAGGATGCTGCGTAATGTAAGGCAGTCTGGCCAGATTCATCTACAGCATCAAGAACACATCCACCCTTTATAGCTGCTCTTAAAGCGTCAGTAGCATCCCTGTCAGCTGCCCAGTGCAGGGCTGTTAAACCATCATCATCTCTTTCATGCCTTAACTCTGGATTTTGGGATAACAACTCAGCTATACGATCTCCGCAGTTCTCCCGTGCTGCTTCCAGCAAGGTCAGCTCATTTTGAATTAAATCTGGCTCTGGAGAGTATCGTAATGATGACACGGCGACCCATGCTTCTTTTGACCCTGGTTGCTGTGACATGCCTGCTTCAGACCAATCTGGATCAAATTTTTGCAGAAGATCAACATACTTTTGTTTTGCCACTTCAGTGGGCATGTCACCAAGGGATCTCCAAGCTTCCCATTTCCGGCGACCGCGGCCATCTAGCCAACCTGGCTTTGGGGTGTTGCATTTGCCTTCCAGGCCTTGCTTATAAAGTCCATAGAGCTCCAGAAGCTGGTTGTTGTCAAGTCTGCTTGTAATCTTCCGTAAGTGGTCGGCTGCATCACTGAATGCCTTGTCTAGAGGTGACTGGTCATCATCAGAAAAGTCTGAATCGGGATATTCTGGAAGAGCTTCTGCCATTTCTAATGTACTACACTACTGCTAACTAATTATTTTGAACTTGAACAACCAGATTTAGGCCTTCCAGGGTGTGCACCTGCTTGTTGGTGGCATCTGCTGCTGCCGAAGGGCTCACGAATTCTATGAAACCGTAACCTTTACTGAGGCCAGTGGAACGATCGAATACTACTCTAGCAGTTTGCACTGGTCCAAATTGAGCAAAATATTCTCTTAACTGTCTGTGACCTACGGTCCACGGTAGGTTGCCTATGTACAGGCGAGCCGCTCTAGCCGTGCTGGCCATAACCTACGCAGAAACTATTTCGAGTAAGTGCAAAGATCGCTCGCCGATTAGGGCTCTGTAGTCTACACCGGAGCTCTCACTTAACGAGTCCAAGTCTAGTAGAGCGCCTTTCAGTCCCCACTTCTTCAGCAAAGCCTCGATGGACCAGTCAGCACTGCGTTCCTGGTAAGCACACAAAAATCTAGCGTCAGTGCCGTCTAGAAGGTAGGCTACAGTGGACAACACTTCTTCGAACTGCGAAGGCTCGTAAAAACAGTCTGAAGCTAACAAAAGGTCAACAGGGCGCAAATTGTGAACTTCGGTGAGAAATAGACCCCAAGCGAGGCCTAAAATTTGCAGGTCACGTCCAGGGACTAGACCGTTGGCCTCGCAACACGCTGAAAGATGCCTGAGCGATCTCGGAAGTGCGACGGAGTCGGTGAGCGTGACTCGTGCGCCACACTTGGCTGCCAGTATCCCCGGGAGACCGGTGCCACAGCCGAGCTCCAGCACGCGCAGGCCGCGCAAATGACGACGCTGCGTCCACAAATACCAGGCGAGAAGCGGCGCAGAAGGCCACGTGTAAAAGGAGTAGCCGGCGGAGAGCAACTCCGGAATTATTATCTCCAAGTATTCACCTCGAGTGTCGCCGTTGGACAATGATTTGCCCCGAAACACAAACTTCTTCAATTGACCACTAACAGGGCGACCATCGCTCATTGCATAAGCATTTCTTGATAAAAATTTACGAAATCGCCAAAATCGGGCCGAGGTTTTCAGAAATTTTGACAGCTTTAGTAATCATTGCCAGTATATAAAATACAATTTCCCTGATTTATTTATTTGCTTGTCACATTTATTTAATTAGCTTCATTAATAAATTATTCATCAATTTCATAGGTACTAAATAACGTCCACTAGATTATTTTGTATTCATGTTTGTTGTTATAACATCACGAACACACAAATAATTCGTATGAAATCCTACTTTTAGGCTACTGAATTTATAGAAAATATTTTATATAATGCAACCCTAAAAATGCTGCCAGCTTTGCGTTTAAAAGTTATTACTGAAACTAAATAAAAATAATGAACACTGCCTGCAGTACAGTAAGTGCCTTTTCACACGTTCCGGTTGCCGGCTATCCGGCGCCGGGTACCCGGTGGTGAAGTGTATGGGCATGGTACGTAACTTTCACATGTTCCGGCGTAATTAATCCGGCATGCCCATACATTTGACGCCGGGTAGCCGGCGCCGGTTAGCCGGCAACCGGGACGTGTGAAAAGGGCCTAACAGTAACAAAATTAACTCTCATTAATAAAAAAAAACAAACAAGCACCATGCTTATTCAATTCTTTTAGAATTTTTATGCACTAGTATTGATTTCTTTGGGTTGCGTCTTCATAACACTGGCCTAAATTATTAAAAGAAAATGGTAAAAAACGCAAGAAACGAGATTACAGTTGCTAAAGTCGATATAACAATCATACGTAAAGTAAGATAGCGATTTTAATTAGTACACTTCTCCCAGTAAATTATAATAAATATAATGTTCCTTGGTACACTTAAAGTACGTAAATTAATTTCACTTTTAATAATAATAACGTAATAATGGCAACATTTATCAAAAATTACTTCATTCATTCAATTAATCCTTATCATTTCAATCTTTCATTCAATTTTAAGGTTAATTAATTTCATTCACTCATTCAATAACTTTGTGTGATAGTGAAGTGGTGTGGCGACGTCCACAATTTAATTTTCATAAGTTTATTTATTAGCGCTGACTACAAATAACCAACATGTCTGTAGCTGTTAAAGGTATGTAATATAATATTTCTTAAAATACATTTCCACAGATTTATTTGGGAAACTTTTTCATCTTGGGGGTCAAATTCCAAGTTATGTTCCAAAGTTGCAAATTAATTTTCAGATAGTACCTACTATCAAACTGGCTTATTCTTTACGAAGAAATAATGTAAGGACTAACGGTTTATGTTATTAAAATTTAACATGTAAAACCAACCAAACAGCTGATAAACATTTTGTTTTTGTTGACGCGTCCGAAGTCCATTATTTTTACTACTTACTAGGTACTTTGTGTTCATCTAGGTACCTACTTACCTACCTCCTAACCGTAGTTTTATACTTTTAGCCGGCCTATTATTGATATTGCTTGAAATGAAATTGTTGAAAATGGTAATAGAAAAGTTTCTTTATTTATGTTACTTAAGTACCTACCTACAATGTTTACCCCAAACAAGCATTTTTAACTTTAGAAATTGTAAGTACGTACGTACAGTCATCAGCAAAAGTGGCTATAAAAAAACTTATTGTTATTTTCTGATAATTTTCGTGAAATTTTGTCTGCTTGTTTTTTTATACATTTTTACCACTTTTACCTATTTTTGGCCAGAAATGGAAGTCATTCATTTTATTTTACGACCGTATTTTTGGGCGCGGGAAGATTTCTGCGTTAGACCAAAATCCAAGCGGATGAAACTAATGTTAAATGAATCTACCTACACACACAATCATATTATGAGGTCAAAAAAACAATACAGCAAGAAACACGACAAAATCAGGGGTCACATACAATTTACATAAAACAAGATATTTTATTATGACATGTTAAGAAAAACACGTTCGAAGTTCGTTCGTTTCAGCTGAATTACGTCCACTGCTGGACATAATGCCCCCAAGGATTTTTTGACATTTATCTGGTCCAAAATAATGGTCCTACTACCTACTTAGGCAGTAGGACTTATTGAAAAAATCAATATGCTTTAGACTATTGACTTTCTTCTGCTGGTTCACCTTTAATGAGAATGAAACAATTCTAGACAATACGTGACAGTTTTAATTCCGAAGGTAGTAGACCCAATGGCCGTAATAGCGTGTGTTTGATCTAAGCTTCTCATAAAGAATATTGCGCTAAGATGTTATGTCGATCACGAAAAACCGTCAACAATCATAAATACGACAAAAAGAAGGTAGAAACGCCTCATTGCTGTATGAGTGGAAGGATTACTTCACTTCAAATCCGTTTTGTCACCAGGTGTGTTCATAGTGGGCGCCAAGCGCACCCCGTTCGGCACCTTTGGGGGGGTGTTCCGAAACACTTCGGCCACTGAGTTACAGACCATCGCTGCCACGGCTGCGCTTAAGGAGGCCAATGTGGCTCCCGACCAGGTCGACACCGTCACTGTGGGACAGGTCATGTCGGTGAGTCATCCAGCAACTTCTAGATACTACTTCAGAAAGTATATTCCTTAACTCATAGGATAGGTTTCTGGGTTAAGAAGCATTTTGGAACAGGTTACCGAGCTGCAGCAAACCATCGCCACGACAGCCACACTCAAGAAAGCCAAGAATTTAACTTGTAGACCTCTGAGGCTCTGAGTTGAGGAGTGTTCTGGAACACACTTAGCAACGAGCGGCGGATTAAGCTATCGTTGCTGCCCTTGACTGTCGACAATCATCTTGAAGCACGTACATAGGTGATAGGTCCCTCCTAACCGTCATGATGTCTTGTTTTTGTTCAAATCAAATAATACATATGAACTGCATCTCATTATTATTTCGATAAAGATTCATATAAGTAATCAGGAATTGCTCCGTGCCAACAATAATTTGCGAGATTGCCAATTTTCAAATTCTAAATTTAACCGTCACTTTGGCCTTAGTTTAAGTAACCTTTTGGATTATTCCACTACTTTTGAACTTGCACCTCTACGCCATAGGAAAACGGAAACGATGTTAGTCTTATGTTTGACTAACGATACTTACTTATTTTTCGTTTCGACCAAAAGACGTCTACTGTTAGACAAATATCTCAACCAACGATTTCCGTTCGTCCAGTGAGCATCCAGGCGTTTCCCGCAACCCGCACCACTTCGTCGATCCACCGAGTGGGAGACCTGTTTGTGCTACGCGTTTCCGTTGTCGCCATTTGAAAATTCGCCATTCTTTTCTGCTTTCTTGTTCCAACGGCCATCAGTTGTACGAGCTCGTTATTTCGGATATCAACTTCAGTTGGCTCATTTCTGATTCGATCACGTTTGGAAACTTCGAGTATACTACATCCACTGGCTAAAACCTTGGGGCTGGTTTTAGTGTCACGCGGACTGTTAGTGCGGATCGCTCCGCACAGTCGATCTGTATAAACTGCTAGGGAGCGAGCGGTTCCTCCGGACAGCATTACTCTAACACGCTCCCTAGAAATTCATACAGATTGGCCGTGCGGGGCGGGTCCGCACCGGACGGTCCGCGTGACACTAAAACCAGCCTTGGTCTTGACATAATCTTACAAGGTTCTTTCCCCCAGGGCACGCAAACAGACGGAATCTACACGCCACGCCACGCCGCGCTGAAGGCCGGTATCCCTCAGGAAAAGCCGGTGCTTGGCATCAACCGCCTCTGCGGTTCTGGCTTCCAGTCCGTCATCAATGGCGCACAGGTACGTTGACGATCTAACTTTAAAGATGTCCTTCCTGAGATCATCATCATCATCATCATCATCTCAGTCATAGGACGTCCACTGCTGAACATAGGCCTCCCCCAATGCTTTCCATGTTGATCGATTGGCAGCGGTCTGCGTCCAGCGCTTCCCTGCTACCTTTACGATGTCGTCGGACCTTCCTGAGATACTAAAGCTGATTCTTTTTCTTCCTAATTTGTGTGACGCATTCATAAATAACATGGCTTGTGATTAGAGATTGCAAACCGGGCCCGGCCTACAACCCGGTATGTTTTTCAACCCGGCCGGGCCCGGTTGCATTCGTCGCTAGTCCTATTTAGGTGCCTAAAAGGGCACCGGGCCGGGGCTAGAGATGGGTTTCCACCCGGGTAAAAACCCACATGAGGGTAAAAACCCAATAAAAACCCGTTTCATTCCACCCGTGGGTGTTTACACCGGGTGAAAACAAATAATTTTATAATTATTTCAACTAGTATCTTTTCTTTATTTTTATTGAATTTTTCTCATTTAAGTTTATTGATTAATAAGTAATAAGTCAAATTTAACACTAATAATATGCATTTATATCGTGGCCAAATCGTAAAATTGATCACGTTATGATGATGTGACCAATTATTGAAATGAAAATGAAATATAATATATTTATTTGCTTCAATCTTGAGTAATACAGTAAGGTGTTCTTAAAAT